ATGTGCAATCCTGTATTTCTTTCTTTCTTTCTTTCTTTCTTTCTTTTTTTTTTCTTTCTTTCTTTCTTTCTTGCTTTCTTTCTTTCTTTCTTTGTCGTCACTCCTTTATTTGCTTTTTATAGTTTTCTTTCTTTTTTTCTCTTTTTCTTTGTTTCTTTGTTCCTTTCTTTATCGTCTATTTTATTTGCTTTTTACTCTTTTCTTTATGTTAATTAACTTCTTTCTTTCTTCTTTTCTTTTTCTTTTCTTTTTATCTTTGTCGTCTCTTCTTTATTTGTTTTTTTTTATAATTTTACTGATTTTAATTCGTTTCTTCATTCATTCTTTCCTTTTTTTCTTGCTTTCCTTTTCATTCTTTCTTTTCTTTCTTTCTTTCCTTCCTTTGTTTCTCAAAGTTACCGTCTGTTATTATATATGTATTATAGTCTTCTTCCTATCTTTTTACTTTCTTTCTTTCTTTCTTTCTTTTACTTTCTTTTATAATTATATTTATTTTAATTCGCTTCTTTCTTTCTTTCTTTCTTTTTTCCTTCCTTCCTTCCTTCGTTCTTTCTTTCTTTTCTTTTCTTTCTTTCTCCCCTTCCTTTGCTTTACCGTCTGTTCTTAATATATACGTATTATAGTCTTCTATCTCTTTTTCTTTCTTACTTCCTTCCTTTGTTTTTTCTTTCTTTCTTTCTTTTTTCTTTCTTTCTTTGATTCCTTCTTTCTTTCTTTTACTTTCTTTTATAAATCTATTTTAATTCGCTTCTTTTTCTTTCTTTCCTTCTTTCTTTCTTTCTTTTTTCCTTCTTTCTTTCTTTCTTTCTTTCTTTGATTCCTTCTTTCTTTCTTTGATTTCTTCTTTCTTTCTTTCTCTGATTCCTTCTTTCTTTCTTTCTTTCTTTCTTTGATTCCTTCTTTCTTTCTTTTTTTTTTTACTTTCTTTTATAAATCTATTTTAATTCGCTTCTTTTTTCTTTCTTTCTTTCCTTCTTTCTTTCTTTCTTTCCATCTTTTTTCTTTCTTTCTTTCTTTCTTTCTTTCTATTACTTACGTATAAAAATCTTCTCCGGTTGCTTTGTAGCCTACACAATCCATTCCGACAATCTACACTGCTAATAAATTACTTTTTCCCTCTCTCTATATGTCTTCCTATTTTTCTTAAACTCTCTCCCCCTTTTGTTGCTCACTTGCTCACAGCCTCCTTGTTTGTAAAAGAATATAAAGGCAATTTGGCATCAGATGAGCCAAATTCAACCGCAAATCATAGACTTCTTAATTCTGCTCACTTTCTTCATTTTATTTCTAGCGAATCAACGCAAGAATTTGTATCAGGTCAGTGTGCAGGCAGAAGCTGTAAAATGCAAGCAGTCATATCGAAAGGAAGACAGAATTATATTAACGTAATTGTCCAGTTTAGTCTGACACAATGCCTTTGTAGTGGAACAACTAATTAGAATTGAACACTATCTATCTATCTATCTATCTATCTATCTATCTATCTATCTATCTATCTATTTCAGTACATTCATTATCTATCTATCTATCTATCTATACACGAACATATAAAATTATATCACTGATATGAAACTCTTTTTCTCTATAAATATTATAAATTTCAATATATTAAAATGGCAGCACTCCTTCGTGTATATATATATATATATATATATATTATTATTATTATTATTATATATAAATATGAGGATTTATATCTATCTATCTATCTATCTATCTATCTATCTATCTCTCTAACACAATCTGATAATTATATTTTTTATATTTTTCCTGTATGTCTGATCTATCTATCTATCTATCTATCTATCTATCTATCTATCTATCTATCTATACAAGAACATATAAAATTATATCGCTGATATTAAACTCTTTTTTCTCTATAAATATTATAAATTTCAATATATTAAAATGGCAGCACTCCTTCGTATATATATATATATATATATATATATATATATATATATATATATATATATATATATGAATTATTATTTATATAAAATCTGGATTTATATCTATCTATCTATCTATCTATCTATCTATCTATCTATTCTTATATATATATATATATATATATATATATATATATATATATGAATGGTGGTACTCGTTTGAAAAACCTCGGATAGCTCAACTTGCAGTAGAACAAATCGGTACACGTGGAGTAATGGGGAATAAAAAGAAAAGAACCAAAAACATTAAAACAGGGCGAAAACAATTGTCCAAAGTCCAAAGATAAAAAAAAAAACAAAACGAGTAAAAAGACAATTACGCAAAGTGCTCAATATACTAAGTAGAGCAAAACCTAATTTTATTGTGTAATATATATATATATATATATATATATATATATATATATATATATATATATATATATATTATAAAACAAAATCAAAATTACCTCATATGGTAGGGTATATATCTCTTTCAACCAACGAGAAGTAAATTAATCTTATTCAATCCCGGTGTGTAGACTGTGTTCGTGTCGGAATTAGAAATTTAAAATTTAACCTTTACACCAGTGGAAATATATATATATATATATATATATATATATATATATATATATATATATATATATATATATATATATATATATATGTTATAATTATTTTTAAAATATTCGAAGTAATCATATTTTTTTTAAAATAATCATAATTTAAGTTCTACTTCTGTATGGAGCACTGTTTTTTTAAAAATAAAAACAAAAGTACTAAAGAACCTCGGATTATTTGCCTAACGTGTTCTTTCCTATATTTACACACACACACACACACACATATATATATATATATATATATATATATATATATATATATATCATAACTAGAAATACACCTAGAAACACGGATCTATGATTGTGACTGAGTTTTACAGCAACATTGCGATCTTTAGGTAATTATACTGACGGTGAAACCGCAAATCACCAAAATTTAAATAATTCGAAAGAGAAAAAAAAAATAATTAGCCTGGCAAATTAGTATTGCATCTTAACCGACCTTGATATGATTTTCATTAAAATGTTTGCTCATTGTTTGCTGATTTAACAAAATGTTTGCTGATTTAACAAAATGTTTGCTGATTGACAAAATGTTTGCTGATTGACAAAATATTTGCTGACAAAATGGTCGTTAATTAACTTGAGTAAGATATTTGCAACATTAGCTTTTGAAGTCCTATTGTAGCGGAATTGAAGGATATATTGCTATATTTTTTTATCTTCAAATTATCGTATACAAGTACAGCATTATGGCCATTGTGGCATTATGACCATTTCCGGTTCCTTTACACTATGGCCATTGAGCCATTGTGTTTCTGTTTCATTTTTCCCTTTCTTTAAGTTAGAATATATTTTTGTGCGGTTTTTTTTTTTGTACTTTTCAGTTGGTTCATTCTTTGTGTATTTCGGCAGCAAATGTTTATTAAGGCAAATCCAATAAAAAACGAGAGACATTTTGTATCGATTAATTTTAATGATTGATTTTTCCAAGTTACTAATATTTATTCTCAGACAAGTAGAAAATTTCGTCGGAAGAAAAGAAGAGGAAATATGGTGCAAGATTCCGACTTTCTTTACCAACCCTGATGATGACTTAAGAAAGTCGAAAACTCGGAACATATTTCCGGGACTTTTCTTCCGAAATGATCTTCAGATGGAATAACTAACATATAAATTATTTTTAACTTAATATAATGATAAAATGTGAAAATCGGGAGACAATTTGGCGATACCTCTTGAGTGTACTGAACGAAAAGTTCTTCTGGAGTCAAGGTGCAGCATATAACATCAATCAGTTAAGTGACAAATTCCATTTGTTTTAATCCCATTTATTATATATATATATATATATATATATATATATATATATATATATATATAAACAATTCAACACCTCGAGGCGACAATCATTTCACTCTTAAACACATTCTTAAGCATGAAACAGACTGTAGCCAATTGACCTGTCCACTTTTATATTTACATACGCTCTTTCCCTAATATTTAAACCATGAATATACCATACCTTAAGTCTACGTTTTATCATATATATATATATATATATATATAAAATAAAAATGCATAAATTATTCACACGCATATATATATATATATATATATATATATATATATATATATATAACTATGAACCTAAAGAGCCAGGCAAACCTACGTAGGTTTCACCTACGCAGATCGTCAGGTAAAGAGCCAGTTTACCCTGACGATCCGTATAGGTGAAACCTAGGTAGGTTTGCCTGGCTCTTTACGTTCATAGTTAGATTTTCTCTACTTAGTGTATTGTGCACTTTGCTTAGTTATTTTTACTTTACTCGTGTTGGAGGTTTTTTTCTTTGGACTCTGAGCTGGAGTTCTGGACGATTGTTTTCGCCTCAATATCATGTTCTTAGTTCTTTATTTTTTGATCCCTTATTTTTCCTTGGGCAATGGTTCGTTCATTTACAAGACAAAACACATAAGGTTTTTTCCAGACGAGTATAATTACTTATATTTATAAGATTATAATTATTATATATATATATATATATATATATATATGAAGAAATATAGTCTTAAGGTGTGCTATATTTATGGGATAAAGTGCTCAATATCAGAGATAGAGCGATAGTGTGTACGATTATTCCTACTATATTTTAATTAGTGTTAATTGCATCAACGGCTCTGCGCAATTGAGAGACATAATCTAGAGATTATATTTCAGCCTGATACAAACTTGCCATCCACTTTCAAGGAGAAAGCACATTATTAAAACTCTCGATAGCCTATCCACAATCAGGAAATATATATATATATATATATATATATATATATATATATATATATATATATATATATATATATATATATATATATATATATATATATGCAATTTGTATATATATATATATATTATTTATATATTATATATGCGCGGGTACTTATTGGAAAGCGCTCAATATCAATGATAAAGCTAAACATATTTAGTTATTTGAAGCGAGTTTGTGACTCTGTGTTTCACGCTATTTGCGATCGTCAGACAAACTCTGACGATCGCAAATAGCGTGAAACGCAGGGTAAAAAACTCACATCAAATCATATATATATATATATATATATATATATATATATATATATATATATATATAAGCAAGTATTCATCTAAAAAAATTTGATTAAAAAGACAAACATCATTATTCCAATTTTCAGATATTGCCATTGCCAGTTCTTTTAATTAAACTTCTCTCCCCCTCCTCCCTCTCCTCTCCCCTCCTCCCTCTATATATATATATATATATATATATATATATATATATATATATATATATAATTGGAGCGGTGCTGAAAATTTCTTAGCTGACCCATTTGTCAAAAATCTTTCCAAGTGAACAAACACTTTTTAAATATCTGGTTCGTATCGAGAATTTTTCAGCTCACTACCCCTGATATATATATATATATATATATATATATATATATATATATATATATATATATATATATTTTAAAAAAAATTGCACCTGCCTTCGTAATGTTTGTTTTTAGTTCACCTTTCCATATAATCTCCGATTTCCATTATGGAAATTCTTCTCCCCCCACCCAGCTTTCGCTTCCCTTCCAAATTTGTTCATGTTCTGCTTTGTTACAGAAGCCTGTATAGTGTTGCTTTATCGAAACTCACAATTCCGAGGCTTTAGTACTTCTATATATGGACATAAAAATCATTACGAGGCACAATATGCAAACGAGATCATCTGATACGCGGCTTCACAGAAATAGGCATTGGACTTCAGATTATTCCATTTTTATTCTTTCTGATTAATAATTTCGGAAATTTTGAATAGATCATAGACAAAAGAAGTAACGTCTGTCTTTTAAGCATCTCAGAAATCCTTGCCTTAGTGTTCTCTCACTATCAGTAAACATTGCGTCTTAGTGGCTTTATTGCCTTTTTTGTAGTGAAAGGATTAATAAAAAAAGAATTTTTTGATTATTACTGAACATTTTCTTTTGCTCTCATTCTCTCACAATCAGTAACTCTTGCGTCTTAGTGGCTTTATTGCCTTGCTTGTAGTGAAATTATGAAAAAAGAGTTTTTTTTTTTTTCGTTTAACCTCAAGGCAATACAGCCACTAACACACAATGCGGTATAGAGGTAGAAATAACCTGAGTAAAAACAAAATTCGAAAGAGAAGACAATTAAAGAAGAGTATTCAAATAGACAAATATCTATTGATATTACAAATCTAGAAGGCTACGATTCGTCCAGGCTTAGAATATTGCTGCCACATATGGTCCAGTATTCCTGCTATTTACCTTCAGCTCCTTGATAAGATCCAAAGAAGAATCAGCAATGTTATAGGTCCTGATCTGGTAGTTCGGCTTCAGTCACTTGCCCACCACCGTAACATCGTTGCCTTTCTATGCCTTTTCTATAAATACATTCATTCGAATACTCTCTTCGCTATTGTAAATATTCATCGGGGTTAGTTTTTAAATTATTGTTTTATTCCCCTCCCCCTACAGGCAATGAATTGTAGATATGGGGACTAGTTCAGACTTTCATAGAGACAATGAGGTATTATGGTGAATGCAGTAAGAAAGAATGTGTTGTTTTGGTGTTAGGAATATTGTGGTATGTCTGGGTCAGTGTTTGTGGCTAGCTCAGTTTAAAGTTAACACAGATGAAGACCACACTTTTTGCCATTCCCCATTTTGGCCTTGTATTAATGAGTACATATACATGCACCTACGTTTTAGCGTGCTATATACGTAATAATTAATACATATATTTGCTCTGCATAACGGCATTGAGCACTATTACGTTTACACCTCATGCATAAATTTAACGATTATTTATTATTTGCTTGCCTGCATATGCACATCAGAACACGCATAGACATCTGCTTATATTTGGCTGCTCCCTTTATCCACTCTACAACTATACACACACACACACACACACACACACACACACATACACACACACGCACACACACATATATATATATATATATATATATATATAAATATAGATAACTAGACTCGAAAAAAAAAAACCCTCGAATTTTTGATTTGCTAATCAAATCAATCTCGAGGGAAAAAAAGGTTTAAAAAAAAAGAAAGAGCTACAAACATGGACTTCTGCCGACAAAAAAATCGCACAGATGCAGGTCTGAAGCCCAAAGAAAAAACCCCGATACGAGTAACAACTAACTAACAAAAGAGCTCAATACAACCGTAGAGCAGACCTAGATACACCTAGTGAGCCAGACAAACCTACCTAGGTTTCACCTAAACGGATCGTCAGGGAAAGTTTGGTATATATATATATATATGCCTTTATAGAAATACCTCGCTCACAGACATTAGCTAGATGAAGACATTGTAACTAATTTCTTTCTTATGTGAGAGGTATTTCTGCCGCACCCTGTATTTTACAAATGAAACATTCTTCTACTTCTAAAATCTAGGTGAAAACCAAAGTGCGCCCCGAGGACTTGATTGAAGCTTATTAACCAGCCAGTTATATACCATGCGTGATACACGCTTAGGCGATCCTGTATCTTTCGATACATGACTGACGAGGCAGATTTGTTTCCCGCAGTAGGTTGCCATTTATTTCTACGGTAGGCCAGTTGCCATCCAAGGCCATAGAAATCATACTCATAGCTGGGGGTTGAAGAAGAGGATTCATACCTTTCCCAAGGGTGAATCAGTCAGTTATGTGCCATGTGTGATACACACTTAGGCGATCATGTATCGAAAGATACATGACTGACGAACGAATATTTTCCCCAGTAGGTTGCCATTTCTTTTGCAGTAGACCAGTTGCCATCCAAGGCTATAGAACCCAGTCTGTTTTGCTATTTACTCATAGCTGGAGAGGAGAATAACTGGATTCATACCTTTCCCAAGGGTATTAGCACGTGAGTGAATTTCAGTCAGTTATGTGCCATACGTGATACACTTTTTTAGCGATCATGTATCTTTTGATCATGTATCTTTTGATACATGACTGACAATTTTTTTCCTGCAGTAGGTTGTCATTTCTATCTGCGGTAGACCAATTGCCATCCAAGGCTATAGAACCCAATTTATCCTTCTTTTTACTCATAGCTTAGAAGAAGAGGCTTCATACCTTTCCCATTGGTCAGTCAGTTATGTGCCATGTGTGATACACGCTTAGGAGATGATGTATCTTTCAATACATGACTAATGAGGCAGTTTCTTTCCCGCAATAGGTTGCCATTTCTTTCTATAGTAGACTAATTGCCATCCAAGGCTATAGAATCCGGTCTGTTCTGCTATTTACCCACACTTAGGTGTGTGGTGGGGGAGAAGAAGAGAATTCATACTTTTCCTAAGTGTATTAGCACGTAAGTGAATTTCAGTCAGTTATGTACCATGCGTGATACGCGCTTAGTATACGATATATGACTGACGAGGCAGATTTTTTCCTGCAGTCGGTTGCCATTTCTTTCTGCGGTAGACCAGTTGCCATCCAAGGCTATAGAACTCTGTCCTGCTATTTACCCATAGCTGGAGGGAGAAGAGGATTCACACCTTTCCCAAGGGTAATAGCACGTAAGTGAATGTAATGGAATCGACTAGAATTCGAACTCGGCTCTCCGATTCCTTAATCCAAGCCGCTATCCACTACTCAACCGTGCTTCTATATTATTAACCAGGTAAAGTCCATAAGAAAATTTTCCATCGATCTGGCACGACCGGTCCCCATATCTTATCTGTAGTTCATAGATGGGAAAGGAAATTATGCCGTATCATTATTTGCAAGATCTGGTAAGTCCATGAAGACAATCGATCACCAAATATCGATCACGATTTTGTGAAATAGATATCGACTAATTTTCAATATATATAATCGACTCTCCCGTCGAGATTCGACGTATGAGGGTCAAGCAGATCAGTTTCCAGGAAACCGACAGCCCGACACCGGCACATGAGATTTGATTATAGTTGTGAAGGCTTCGTGCAGGACCATCCACATTTTTTGAAGGGACGAATACAGAGACCTGGTGCACTAAGTGCCATAAGGTCACCAAACGACCCTCCGCAGGTTTTGAATTCAGAGTTGTCCTTCTCCTAGACCAGTTGCCATCAAAGGCTATAGAATCTAGTCTGTCCTGCTATTTTACCCATAGCTGGAGGGAGAGGAAGAGGATTCATACCTTTCCCAAGGGTATTAGCACGTAAGTGAATGTAATGGATTCGACTGAATTCGAACTCGGCTCTGCGATTCCTCAATCCAAGCCGCTATCCATTACTCCAACGTGCCTCTCTCTCTCTCTCTCTCTCTCTCTCTCTCTCTATATATATATATATATATATATATATATATATATATATATATATATATCCGATGCGATGAGAACGAAAGTAATATATAAATTCCAACGTTCACAGCATTAATCCAAAAGAGGGCTCGATACCGATAGTAGAGCGATAATTATGCATTTATTATAATTTTATCATATAGACAAAACCATTTTACTCACTACAAAGATGCGACTTCGTTTCAGTGCATTTCAACTGCACTTCGACCGGTGAGAATCGAAACAATTATTTTAAGAGATTTTTATGTTTATACATTCTTTTTATAGATATTTAAGTAAATGCTCTGTTTTATAATAAACAGTATTAAACAACATTTACTTGAATATCCGAGAAATTTTCACAGAAAATATTCAGACCGGTAAATGTTGTTTAAGACTGTTTATTATAAACAGAGCATTTACTCAAATATTTGTATCTATAAAAATGTATAAACATAAAAATGTCTTAAAATAATTGTCAGACTTTGTCCATTTCATAATGTGTGACGTCATTTGTTTACATTTGGATACGCCATGAGCAGATATGAATGTACGTGAGAGATTCATGGAAAATTGTAGTTTAAAAGCAGTAAAATCGACCTTGCTAACCGAACGCTCCTCTGTGGCCAAATCGGTTAAAGGCACGTCAAGCTAAATGACAGTTCCGTATAGGATACAGGTTCGAATTCTGTCGGAGGACGAATATTTTCTGTGAAAATTTTTCGGACATTCAGGCCGGTAAATGTTGTTTAATACTGTTTATTATAAACAGAGCATTTACTTAAATATTTGTATCTATAAAAAGAATGTATAAACATAAAAATGTCTTTATATATATATATATATTTTTGGTGGTACAAAACTTAGGTATTGCTTTAAAAGTATTAAGCTTAAGACTACGAGATATAATGAAAGATTAAAAAGGAAAAGAAGGAAAGAAAAACACGGTTTCGCTCCCGCCTATCAAAGTTTCTTCATTGAGATAATTACAGGTAAAATATAATAGTCATGAAATATGAAATTAGTCAATGAGGAGAAAAAATAATAAAATTTTGAACTACTAGGTAAGGGAAAAACAAATTTCACTTGTACTTTCTTAAGTGTGATACTAGCCCAGCCTTGTTGCAGGCGACAAAGTCAAACTGACAGATGAAATATATGTGTGTGCAGCAAGGTGAGTCTAAAAGTAACGCAATTTTTTTTTATCAGATAAGGAACACAGTCAACCATATCATACATCAAGATATAGGTATACATCATAGGTTCATATCCCTACTTCTCAACAAATATATATATATATATTTATACTAATGTATGTTTCATTAAATAATATATACAAGTTTTCTCTGTTTATTTTAAGCAAATTCCTTTCCTCTGAGAAGCTTAATAAAATTATCATCGAAAGACGAAAGAAAATCACATTGATACATGTTTTTTTTTAATCCTATCTAAGCGTTCGGCTTACATAAGCCATCATCAAAGATGACAGTAGCAGTACAATAAATTAAACTATACACGGACATAGCAACAATGATAGTTTTGTTTGCATGGAAGATTTCCAAACAACGACAAGCTCGTGCATACGAGACGCTGGAAACGAAAATCGAACCGTGGCTCATGAATTCACACATGGGCACGCGAGAGTGAAAACGAGAAGTGTTAAGTATAGGAAGCCGTTGATTGCCTGACTTATTATTTCAGACTTAACTCTCTTTAGTCGGATAAAAGAGACACTGTGGGACAAACCTTGTGATGGCGATGAAGAAGTGGAAACTGAGTTTTTAAGAAGCTGGGATAGATACCCTCATTAGTTGGTGGAACACGGCCATTGAAAGAGGTGATAACTATGTTGACAGCTCATCAGTATGACTATCCAATTGCCTCGATCTGGGATCGAAACTAAGCTATCGGCGCACGGCAGAGAAAGGGAATATTTTAGCGTATTATATACGGGATGTATACAAACAGGAAATCTTCAGCCAGAGTGCTCAATTCATAACTGAAGAGCGATGCGTTATAAGCGGGAGCAGTCACTGTTTTAAAAATTCGCTTTCCCCATAGTGGTCAATCGGCGAACGAGAGCAAGTCATACAAGACTAGAGAGAGAAAAAGAGAGAAAGGGAGTGAGGGAGAGAGAGAGGGAGAGAGAGAAAGTGAATGAGGAAGAGAGAGAAAGAATGAAAGATAGAAAGAGAGAGAAAAAGAGAGAGAAAGATAGAGAAAGAGAGTGAGGGAGAGAGAGAAAATAGAGAGAGAAAGACAGAGAAAGGCAAAGAAAGAGAGAGATAGAAAGGGAAAGAGAAAGAAAGACAGAGAGAAAGAGAAAGAAGAAGAGAGAGAGAGAGAGCTGCTGTTCATTAAGTGTTGACACTGTGAAGTGTTTTTACCTTTGGTCTTTTTTCTTTCATTTTTCTGTCTTTGGGTTTTTTGTTCTTGTTGAATGTATTAGGACTTTTGGTAAGTTGTCTGTCTGTTGCTCACACCAACATTGTTGGTTTCTTTAGTACACGCACACACACAGAGACACACAGAGACACACACACACACACACACACACACACACACACACACACACACACATGCACCGATATATATTATTTATTTGTTTGAACTTTATTCTTTGAATAGATACTCATAAGTGAGTATATGATCTGATTTTATCAACTGATTAAAGAAGAAGAAGAAGAAGAAGGCGGCAAAAAAAGAAGAAGAAGAAGGGAAAAATAGAAGAAAGAAGAAGAAGAAGAAGGAAGACAGGGGAGAAGGAGGAAGAAAAAGAAGAAAGAAGAAGGCAAAAGAAATAGGATGAAGAAAAAGAAAAAGCAAAAGAAGAAGAAGAAAAAGAAGAAAGAAGAAGGATGAAGAAGAAGGAAGTAAACAAATGAAGAAGAAGAAGAAGAAGAAGAAGAAGATGGCAAAAGAAGAAGAAGGAAAGATAAGACGGAGAAAGATGAAGAAAATGAAGGAAGAAAACAAAAGAAGAAGGAAGAAGGAGGACGAGGAGGAGGAGGAAGAAGAAGAAGAAGAAGAAGAAAGGGGAGAAGGAGGAAGAAAAAGAAGAAAGAAGGCAAAAGAAGTAGGAAGAAGAAAAAGAAGAAAAAGAATGAAGAAAAAGAAAAAGCAAAATAAGAAGGATGAAGAAGAAGGAAGTAAGCAAATGAAGAAGAAGATGAAGATGAAGAAGACGGCAAAAGAAGAAGAAGGAAGAAGAAGGAAAAAGAAGAAGGAGAAAGATGAAGAAGATGAAGGAAGAAAACAACAAAAGAAGAAGGGGACGAGGAGGAGGAGTAGGAGGAGGAGGAAGAAGAAGAAGAAGAAGAATGAAAAAGAAAAAGGAAGAAAGCAAATGAAGAAAAAGAAGAAAAAAGGAAGAGGAAGAAGAAGATTATATCATCATATATGCTTTCTTTTTGATTTTCATTTACATCGAGGCGTCTTTAATTCTCTGAAGAACTGATTCAATTATATCCCGTGATCAGTACAGTTACTTGTAGAGCGCTGGGACTAGTAAGTCCCCTGGAAAAATATTTCGTTTTATGCTGATTTCGAAGCATTTATGAGTCCAACCGGCTGCTTTCTCCTCCAATTTTTTCTTATTTTGGGTGTAATTTCATTCACTTCGTTAGAAACAAAGAAAAGAGCACAGAACAGTTACACGATTTCAGTCCTCTTCCGTGACACTGATTGCTGGACAAACTGCACTAATGATCAATTGCAAGAAGACAGAATTCATGGTTGTGGTTGTTAGCAAAAAGCCGAGTCCAAAATGCAAATAACAAATCAAAGATACCAAAATTCAATCAAGTAGAACAATTTTAATATCTTGGAAGTGTTTTAACAGAGGACGGAATATAGGACACTGAAATCCGAAGGTGTATTGGGATAGGCAAAGATGCATTCCAAAAGCTAAGCAGAATACAGTAGAATTCTTCATATCCGGAAGCCCTCATATCCGGAAAACCCGCATATCCGGAAATCCGCATATTCGGAATCCCGCATATCCGGACATGATTTTGTATATTTGGACTATTTGGGTGAAACGTAACTGATTTGAAAGTTCTGTTTTTTCAGGAAATTTACTTTGGATAATTACTTATGCTTATTTCACCCTAATGGCTTGTATTGGTGCAAAAGATGATGGGAATAAAAGGAAAAGAACAACTTTGGAGTTATCGCAAAAAGTGGAAATTTTAAACAGACTAGACGTTGGTGTTCATTGTAACTAATGGAAAAGTCAATATTGTATGATATAAAATCTTCCAAAGAAACTATTCTTCAGCGTTCACACTGTCACAATGAAGAAGGAAATAAAAACATGATTGTAATGAAATCTGGACTGAAGTTGAAAAAGCTATTGAAAAGGTTGTTAGTTTTATGGAAAGAAAGCCAGCATTCAACTATGACGATCGCAGAATTAAAAAGTATCTTTCGTTTAAAAAATTTCAAGAACAAAAGCAAAATGAAAAAAAAATCAATCTTAAAATCAATTCCGTTATATTTCACTCGCGATTAGCTTATTTTGTTTTCTAGAAAACATTGAAAATAAATGTTACACCTGATTTCAGTTCTTTTATTTTAATCTAAATATAACCTCTTATATCCGGACTTTGTAACCATTTCCTCATATCCGGAATCCCTCATATCCGGAATCCCTCATATCCGGAATCCCTCATATCCGGAATCCCTCATATCCGGACTTTGTAACCAATTCCTCATATCCGGAAGGATTTCTTAGAAAGAAACAGAAAAACAAAGAAAAAAGTACTGCACTTATGTTATATAAATCATCCTATTTGACAGCGAATGTTGGAGAATTTCCCCCAAAATGAAGAAGAGACTTGAAACAACGGATATGTAGTTCTACAAAATGGACCGCATATGCGAGCAACGACGAAGTTTTAGATAAAATGGAAGCAAAATGAACACTTATATTAACATAAGGAGGAGACATAATGAGAAAAGAGGGCTTGGAAAATCTGATACACATAGGACAGATTGAAGGCAAGAGGGACAGAGGAAAACAACGCATAACCTATTTAGTAAGCCGGAGTAAAAGGATGGAAATTGTGGAGAGCCATGATCGCCAACATCCTGAAGGGACACGTTACATAGAAGAACAAGCTTGAGTAAATGGATGGCAGGACAGGGTTTAGGAGAGATAACAAAAAGACAAATTTATAAAGAGCTCCAAAAGATAGGAAATTGTGGAGAGCCATGATCGTCTACGTCCTGAATGGCCATGTCACATAGATGAAGAACAAGTTTGAGTAAATGGATGACAGAACAAAACTTAGGAGAGATAATAAAATTATAAAATATATTAATAACTACAAATTCTAGGAAATTGTGGAGAGCCATGATCGCCAACGTCCTTAAGGAACGCAGCACATAGAAGAATAAGAATGTCTTCGTGAAAATGGATAGCAAAAAAAGGTTTAGGAGAGATAACAAAAATACAGAATTTATAAAAACTACAAAAATCAGGAAGCTATGGAGAGCCATGACCACCAATGTTATGAAGAGACACGGCATATAGAAGAAGAAAACTGACAAAGCTTTAAGAATTATTTTTGACACAAAACGTTCTTTTCAATTTATATGTAAACCCGCTTTGTCCTGTACTCCCGGCGAGGATTGAACTCGTGACATTTGTGGTTTTGTTAACTATCGGTCGACTAGAGGCGTTCAACCGAATGTACTTTATAAAGCCAGAGGGAATCCGTTTGAGGAGAGTCTAAGGCTCTTGAGGCTGGCAAAGCCTTCAAGTGAGCGTTAATCCCCTTACACAAATGAAAATCCCTTGCTCTCCCCAGGGCTTCAGGGAGGATCAAATATTGAGTGGATTCGCAGGCGGGAAGATTTCTTTTCTGGATTCTTTGAAGATGTCACAGGGGATAAGTAGAGAGGATTTGAAGAAAAAATAAATGGGAAGAAAAGGAAAGAATAAGATTTGAAAGGAAAAAATCTGGAAAAATAGAATGAAAAGGGAAAGAATGAAAAGAATAGGAGAAAAGAAAGAATAAGAATGGAATAATGAAAAGGGAAAAAAAGAATAGAATGATGGAATGGAATAGGAAGGAAAGAATAGAATGAATGGAAATAGAAGAAAATGGGAAAAGAATAAAATGGAATAGAAGAAAAGGAAAGGAAAGAATAGAATGATGGAATAGGAAGAAAAGGAAAGAATAGAATGATGGAATAGGAAGGAAAGAATAGGAAAAAAGAAAGAATGATGGAATAGGAATATGGAAGAATAGATGGAAGAATGAAATAAAAGGAAAATAGAATGATGGAATAGGAAAGAAAAGAAAAAAGAATAGAATGATGGAATAGGAAGAAGGAAAGAATAGAATGATGGAAAGGAAGGAAAAGAATAGAATGATGGAGGAAGAAAAAGGAAAGAATAGAATGATGGAATATGGAGAAAAGAATAGAATGATGGAACAAGAAGAAAAGGAAAGAATAAAATAGGAAAGGAAAGAATGGAATAGGAAAGAAAAAGAAAGAATGAGAAAGAATAGAATAGAATGAAGGAAAAGGAAGAAATGGAATAGAAAAGGAAAGAATAGAATGATGGAATAGGAAGAAAAGGGAAAGAATGGATGGAAAAGGAAGAAAGAATAGAATGATGGAATATGGAAAATAGAAAAAATAGAAATGGAATAGGAAGAAAAGGAAAGAAAGAATGATGGAATGGGAAGAAAAAAGAAAGAATATGGAATAAAAACGGAAAGAATAGAATGATGGAAGAAAGGAAGAAAAAAGAATAGAATGATGGAATAGGAAAAAAGGAATGAGAATAGGAAGAAAAAAATAGAAGGAAAGAAATGGAAGAATGATGGAAGAGGAAGAAAAGGAAAGAATAGAATGATGGAATAGGAAGAAAAGGAAAGGATGATGGAAAGGAAAAAAGGAAAGAATATGATGGAATGAATGGAATAAGGGAAGAAAAAAGAATAGAATGATGGAATAGAATGAATAGAATGATGGAATAGGAAGGAAGGAAATGGAATAGAATGATGGAATGATGGAAAAGGAAAGAATAGAAATGGAATAGGAAAGAATAGAATGATGGGAATAGGAAAGAAAAAGGAGGAAAGAATAGAATGATGGAATAGGAAGAAAGGGAAAGGAAAGAATAGAATGATGGAATAGGAAAGAAAAGAATAGAATAGGAAGGAAGGAAAGAATAGAAAATGGAATAGGAAGGAAAAAGAAAGAATAGAAGGAAAGATGGAATGATGGAATAGGAAGAATAGAATGATGGAAAGAATAGAATGATGGAATAGGAGGAAGAAAAGGAAAGAATAGAATAGGATGGAATGGAAGGAAGAAAAGGAAAGAAAGATGGAATATAATGATGGAATAGGAAAAAAGGAAAGAATAGAATGATGGAATAGGAAGGAAGGAAAGAATAGAATGATGGAATAGGAATGGGGAAAGAATAGAAAAGGAAAGAATAAAATGGAATGGAATATGGAAAGAAAAGGAAAGAATAGAATGATGGAATGCAGGAAGGAAAGAATAGATAGAAAATGAATGGAATGATGGAATTTCAGAAAAGGAAAGAATAGAATGATGGAATAGGAAAAAAGGAAAGAATAGAATGATGGAATAGGAAGAAAAGGAAAGAATAGAATGATGGAATAGGAAGAAAAGAATAGAATGATGGAATAGGAAGAAAAGGAAAGAATAGAATGATGGAATAGGAAGGAAAGAATAGAATGATGGAATAGGAAGGAAAGAATAGAATGATGGAATAGGAAGAAAAGGAAAGAATAGAATGATGGAATAGGAAGGAAAGAAAAGAATAGAATGATGGAATAGGAAGAAAAGGGAAAGAATAGAATAGAATGATGGAATAGGAAGAAAAGGAAAGAATAGAATGATGGAATAGGAAGAAAAGGAAAGAATAGAATGATGGAATAGGAAGAAAAGGAAAGAATAGAATGATGGAATAGGAAGAAAAATAGAATGATGGAATAGGAAGGAAAGAATAGAATGATGGAATAGGAAGAAAAGGAAAGAATAGAATGATGGAATAGGAAAAAAGGAAGAATAGAATGAAAGGAAAGAATAGAATGAATGGAATGAAAGGAAGGAAAGAATAGGAATGAAGGAAAGGAATGAGGAAAGAAAAAAGAATAGAATGATAGGATGGAATAGGGAAGAAATGATGGAAAGAAGGAGGAAGAAAAGAAAGAATGATGGAATAGGAAGGAAAGAATGGAATAGGAAGGAAAGAATTCCAGAATGATGGAATAGGAAGAAAAGGAAAGAATAGAATGATGGAATAGGAAAAAAGGAAAGAATAGAATGATGGAATAGGAAGAAAAGGAAAGGAAGAAAAGAAAAAGAATAGAATGATGGAATAGAATAGAAAATGGAAAAGAAAGATAGAATGATGGAATAGGAAGGAAAAAAAGAATAGAATGATGGAAAGAGGAAGAAAGGAAAGAATAGAATGATGGAATAGGAAAGGAAGAAAAGAAAAGAATAGAATGATGGAAGAATGATGGAATAGGAAAGAATAGAATGATGGAAAAAGAATAGAAAAAGAAAAGAAGAATGATGGAATAGGAAGAAAAGGGAAAGAAAGAAGAATAGAATGATGGAATAGGAAGAAAAGAAAAAGAATAGAATGATGGAATAGGAAAAAGAGAAATAGAATGATGGAATAGGAAAGGAAAGAATAGAAAATAGGAAGGAAAGAATAAGAATAGAATGAATGGAAGGAAAGGAAAGAATAGAATGATGGAAATAGGAAGAAAAGAAAAAGAATAGAATGATGGAATAAAATGAAGGAAAGAAAAGAATAATGAGAAATGGAAAAAGGAATAGAAATGAAAAGAAAGATGGAAATAGGGAAAGGAAAGAATAGAATGATGATAGTATATGGAATTAAAGGAAAGAATAGAATGAATGGAATGATGGGGAAAGAATAGGGAAAGGAAAGAATAGAATGATGATGGAATAGGAAGGATAGAATAAAACGAGGGAAAAGAAAGAAAGAAAAAGAAAGAAAGAATGAAAGGAAAAGATGGAAGAGGAAGGAAAGAATAGAATGATGGAAAAAGAAAAGGAAAGAATAGAATGATGGAATAGGAAGGAAAGAATAGAATGATGGAAGGAAAGAGGAAGATGGAAAGGATAGAAGAATGGAATGATGGAAAGGAAAAAAGAAATGGAATGAAATGAAAAAAATAGAATGATGCAAGGAAGAAAAGAAAGAATGGAATGGGAAGGAAGGAAAGAATAGAATGATAAAAATAGAATAAATATAGAATGATGAAATGAAAAGAAAGAAGATAGAATGAGATATGAGAATAGGGAGGAAAGAAAGAAAGAAAGAAAGAAAGAATGAATAGAATGATGGAATAGGAAAAAAAAGAAATGAAAGGAAGAAAAGGAAAGAATAGAATGATGGAAAAGAAAGGAAAAGATTAGGTGGGAAGAAAAATGGAAAGAAAGAATTATGGAAATAGGAAGGAAAGGAAAAAGAAAATGGAAAAAGGAAAAGATTAATGGAAAAATGATGGAAACGAAAAAACAATAGATAATGGAAGAAAATAGAATGATGAAAGAAAAGGAAAGAAAAGAAAGATGGAATAGGAAGAAAAAAAGAAAATGGAATAGGAAGGAAAGAATAGAAAAGAGGAAAAAGAAATGGAATGGGAAGAAAAGGAAAGAATAGAATGATGGAATAGGAAGGAGGAAAGAATAGAATGATGGAAGGAAGAAAAGAAGGAAAAGGAAGAAAGAATAGAATGATGGAATAGGAAGGAAAGAATAGAATGATGGAAAAATGATGGAAAAGAAAGAAAAATGATGGAATGATGGAAGGAAAAAGGAAAGAATAGAATGATAATAGGAAAAAGAAAAGAATGAAAAAGAATAGACAAGATAGGAAATGATGCAAAGGAAGAAAAGGAAAGAATAGAATGATGGAATAGGAAGAAAGGAAAAATATTAGGAAAGAAAAGAAAAAAACCAAAAATGATAGAATGATGGAATAGGAAAACGGAAAATAAATGATGGAAAAAAAAAGGAAAGAAAGAAATGGAATGGAATAGGAAAGAATAGAATTGAAAATAGGAAGAAAAGGAAAAATAGAATGATAGAAAGATAGAATGATGGAATAGGAAGGAAAGAATAGAATGATGGAAGAGGAAGGAAAGAATAGAATGATGGAAGAGGAAAAAAATGAATGATTTAGAAGATTGGCGCAACACAATGGAATAGGAAAAAAGGAAAGAATAGAATGATGGAATAGGAAGAAAAGGAAAAGAATAGAATGATGGAATTTCTGATTGTAGAATGATGGATAGGAAAAGACGAATGATGGAATAAGAATGATTAGGCGAATATCAATGAGCCTTGAAAAAGAAAGGAAAAAGAGAATAGAAGATCTAGGAAGAAAAAGGAAAAAATAGAATGAAATAGGAAGAAAAGATAAAAGAAAAGGATGGAATAGGAAAAGGAAAGAAGAATAGAAATGATGGAAAGGAAAAAAGGAAAGAATAGAATGATGGAATAGGAAGAAAAGAATAAAAAGAATGATGGAATAGGGAAGGAAACAAAAGAATATGGAAAGGAAAAGAATGGGAAGAGAAGAAAAAAAGAATAGAATGATGGAATGGTGGAATAGAAAAATGGAAAAGGAAAAAAAAAAGACTTCAGAAGCAGAAATCCGAAAAAATTCCCGCGTATTAAAAAGGAAAAAAAAGAGTAATGGAAAAAAAGGAAAAAAAAGTAAAAAACTTAGTGCGTCAGAAAAACTCAAAAGCTGATTGGACAAATGGGGCGTCGAAGCAGGTTCACGATACTTAATTCACTGGAATGATAGATAGGATGAAAATGAAATAAAAAAAAAAAGAAGCATCCAGATGATTAAGATATGGTGACATCTAAAACAGCTTTGCGTCAGAAAGGATATATATATATATATATATATATATATATATATATATATATATATATATATATGATAGACTCTCCCGTCGGTTTGACGTATGAGGATCTGACAGCTTAGTTGATTCAGTTATGAAATTTTGTGCGATAATCTTAAGTGGCATTTAAGACCCGCTAGTGATTTACAAAGGAGGCCACATATGGAGCAAGTGTGAGGATTGTGAGTTGAGATCACTGATAGATTGGCTGACCTTTTAGATCTTGCTCTCGCTTCTTGATGATGATTTAGACGCTGTGATAAATATGCCAGCAAAGATGAAGATGATAGTGCAAACAATCTAAATCGTGTACATAATACCCCATCTCAGAAATATAGACAGATACTGAAGGTTTTGGAGAGATAACAAAAAGAAAATATGAATAAGTGATCCAAAGTATAGGAAATTGGGGAGATCCATGATCGCCAACACTCTGAAAAGATACTGCATATAGAAGAAGTAGTATCTGATGAGATTGCTAATGCAATAGCTTTTTTGTTATGATCTTAGCCATTATTCAAACAATTATCCAAGGAATTTTTGTTATTACCAAATCAGCAGCAATTTTGATAGTATTTTGTGTATTAGATTAGGCTTATGATAGAGGCAAAATATACTTTCACCTTTTACCTCTACGAAGAGCTTTCATTCTTGTTCTACGTGTTGATACAACTTCTGAACATGGAATTACTGCATACGTAGCTTGTCGCAAAACAGCTGTGCATATTCCATGATACATAAGTACTGTCGAATTACATCATCAGCAAACTGAAAAATAAATCTTCTGCATATATATATATATATATATATAGGTAAACCTAAAGAGCTAAACAAACCTACCTAGGTTTCATCTACGCAGATCGTCAGGGTAAAGAGCCAGTTTACCCTGAGGATCCACGTAGGTGAAACCTAGGTAGGTTTGTCTGGCTCTTTAGGTTTACTTAGTTGGCTCTACTTAACGTATTGAGCACTTTGCTTAGTTATTTTTACTTTACTCGCGTCGGAGGTTTTTTTTCTTTGGACTCTGAACTTAGATTCTAGACGATTATTTTTCGCCGGGAGTACATGTTCTTTGTTCTTGCTTTTTTTACCGTTTTTTTTCCCTTCGGTATTGGTCTGTTCATTTACAAGCTAAAACACCTAAGGTTTTGCCGGACGAGTATAGCTGCTTATATTTATAAGATTATTAGTATTATATATATATATATATATATATATATATATATATATATATATATATATATATATTTAAGGTGTGCTATATTTATGGGATAAAGTGCTCAATACCAGAGACAGAGCGTGCGAATATCAGAGATAGATTGCCTGACGATTGCGTCTAGTAGGAAACAGCCTGTCGCCTCCAAGTGTTGACTGTCCAATGTATATATATATATATATATATATATATATATATATATATATATATATATATAGTGATCCATTAGATACCACGCTAATTCCCATATATACATTTTTTAACATCACGTGATCTACGTATTCAAAATTGGATTTCATGTGTTTGCTTTCTGGTGATCTATGTTCAGACTACAGTGTCGGTAGCGACATTTTACTCCTATATAGCAATATATATATATATATATATATATATATATATATATATATATATATATATGTGTGTGTGTGTGTGTGTGTGTGTGTGTGTGTGTGTATATATACACAAAAACAATTAACTCACTACAAAGATGCAACTTCGTTTCGGTGCATTTAGTTACACCTCAACTGGTGAGAACCAAAATGGTATGCACCGAAATGAAGTTTTGTCGTGAGTAAATTGTTTTTGTCTATAATTATTGCACTACTATAGGTTCTGATCCCTCTTTTCAATTAATGCTGTGAATGTTAAAATTTATATATTATTTTCGTTCTCATTAGATTTGATTAACATATATATATATATATATATATATATATATATATATATAAGAAGAAATTTTAAAAACTTATTGATGAACACAAAAGGGACCTTATACATAACAATTTATCAAACGCACTAGTCATACACAGAAATAAATTCAACCACAATTTTGATCTAAAAATGTCACATTTAACAAAAAAAGAAACTAATTTACTTAGAAGTAAAATATATATATATATATATATATATATATTAGGCGTTTTCTTTCTAAGATAGCTAAGAGCAACGATGAGAATAGAAACATAAACAATAACATTAATATTTTTATAAAAATCAAATGAATGAAAATTATAAACAAGAAAGTAGAATTATTAAAAATTGCACATCACCAGTTGACAATAGCAAAAACATTAGATTAATTATTTATTACAAAACTTTAAAACCTCTAACCTTATAGTTAAAAATAATAATTCACCTCCTAGAACAAAAATAAATAGGACAAATATTATTTACTAATTTTAATGCCCATTAAGAAATTGTATTCCTGATCAAACAAAATTTGTAAATAATTATATAGGCCACACTACAACATGTTTGACACGCAGACTCACTCTACACCTTTCTGACCATAGCTCAATTAGATGTCATTTAAATATTCATGGAGACCAACCGGACACTATTCGTAACATGTTGACAACACATATATAATATCATCATCTACATGTAAAAAAAGACGAAAAATAATGGAAGCCTTATTAATAAAAACAAACAAAGCAACACTTAATAATATTAACTTTGAACATGGACACAATATCTTGACCGTGTTTTGAAAAATGAAAACATTATATAAATACATACATGCAACAAGCTATTTCTTATTTAACAATTAATATATTTCATCCTTTAAAATGTCTAAATTTATAGCCGAAAGCGCTCGGATAAAAAGAACATTCGGATAATTTTTGTATAATTTATCATCTGAAAAGAAGAAAATTTTTAGATCACATGAGAAACTGTATAAAAAAATTAAATTAAAGCACCTTGTCTGTCATATTCAATGATATATGCATGAAAGAAGGATTGCTGCCTAAATACATACATACATACATACATACATATATTACATATCACCGTTGCTGCACTGAAATAAATTGAAAAATTAAGATTGCTAGAGAGAAGAACGACAGGTAGAGGTGTCTAAATGCAGAGGTGCAGGTATCTCTAAAAATTGGGATGAAGGTGTCTCAAAATATTACTATAGAGGTGGCTCTAAATATTCGGATGTAGGTGTCCCTAAATGTAATTCGGAACGTCATTAAATTGTGTCACTTTGTGTTTTCCATAGTTTGACTTTTCAGCTAGCTGGATGAATATCTACGAGTTTCCCTAAGGTTAAAAAGTTTGAAAAACCGATAACATTTTTGTTCTTGTATATAAATACTTATTACAAAATAAAATCCTTACATTACTAAATTGTTCGCTGCATTTAAGTATTGCATTAATATTTAAGCTTATCTTTTAAAAGTTCAACAATAATTCTTCGGTCTTCACTAGAAACAATTATTTTTATTTCATGGCTGACTTTCACTGGATTTTGCAATTAATTTCGATTATTCCCAAATTTATTTCCAAGTTATAAAAATTCTTTTTTGTTTTTTCTTTAAGCATTTCACCCCAAGCAAGGCGGGAAGCCACTAGGACGCAAGGGGTTACAGAAAATTTAGAGCAAGATCAGATAGGAGTGATAGAAGAAAGGATGAGGGTAGTGGATAGATCAAGGCAACTGGAAATGTCGATTGACATTACACTTGAATAGCTGGAGATTATAGCTCACAGGGAAACTTATCGTACAAAAAATATTCGTCGTAAAAAATCACGTAAAAAACCATTTGACTATTCTTTGAATATTTCTGCCACAAGTGGTCTGGTGCTACTGCTATACATCTAGAGATCCTTGCTAAAATCTAAAGAGGAATCAGCAATATTATTAGTCCTGATCTGGCATCTTGGCTTCAGTCACTTTCCCAGCACCGTAAAGTTGCCTCCCTAATCTTTTTCTATAAATAATTTCATGATCATTGTTTGGATGAGATCTTTGCTATGGTCCTTAGACTGTACGAATTTAAGTGCTGTTCTAGACTGGTGACGAGGTCTCACCAATTTACAGTTGAGTCTGCAAGATGTAACCGTAAGTTCTATGCTAACAGTTTCTTCTATCGCAGTTATCGCTTCCGGCTTCATGCTTTCCAGTCAATTTCAATCTTTAAAATTTAAATGCAATGTCAGTCGCTATATGCTGTCCTCCTGGTTACTCTTCTTTTGTTACTGCTCTTTAGTAATGTTTCTGTTTTATAATTCCTTCACATCCAATAATATAAAAAAAATAAAATAAATAAATTGTGTCTTAGGGGCTTTACTGCCTTGCTTGGAGTGAACGTGATTAAAAAATAGCTTAGTTGTTTTGAATTTGCAGTATGCACAATACCAAGAAATAAATATCTTCACAAGGGTGTGAAAGGGGTGGACTAGATATATATGGAGGCCGAGGGGTCGGTGAATTGGTGGGGCGTGCAAATGGAAGCCGCTGGTATAGATGGTCTTTCAAGATAGCTCAGCCGACTATTAGAACTAAAGTTTTTTGAGTGCCAAATAATTCTTCCATTGCGTTAGAACAATTTAGGCATATTATGAAGGTTAGAGTCCTTGATAAGCAGCCTATTGCAGCTCGAGCAACGTATACTCCTGCTGGGTGACCAAGCAGAAAAGGAAATGATTTCATTTGACCGTTCTTCTTGTGGTTAGCAGTTATATATACGTAGGTCCTTACCTTCCCTAGAAACTATTCTTTTTATTTCATAGGTGACTTTTGCTGGATTTTCCAATTAATTTCGATTATTCCCAAATTTATCTGCAAGTTGTAAAAATTGTTACCATAAAAAAAAATGTCGCAAAAAAAAAAAGGAAAAAAATCGCCGAAAATAATCACAGTAATGAAAAATTGTGAATCCAAAATTTTAGGATTGGGGGTCTGGATCCGCACCGGAATGGTTTTAATTTGCTCATTGAGTCGGCCTGATTCTAAAATGGTAAGATATGTTGGGCTACGGACTCTAGGTGTAAATTTGAAAACACGGACAGTTTTATTTTAAAATACTGTCGTTTCAGAACAATATTTCTTTTCATTTGAAAAGAACTATTGAAAGGTAGAGAGTTGTATCCCTTTAAGTTGAAAATGTGTGACACACTGACAATCGCATTTATTATTATTATTATTATTATTATTATATAAATTTATAACATAAATATATTATAAAATCACTACAAAAATAGCCATTTTGTTTCAACACCCCCGGTGTCTTATCAAGTGATGATGTTGAATGTAAAATAAATGGTTTTAAAACTTTTAAAACGATTTATTTTACACCGGGGGTGTTGAAACAAAATGGCTATTTTTGTAGTGATTTTATATTTATGCTATAATTTATTTATGTTATGTTTTGTAGTGATTTATGTTATAATTTTTTTTTAATAAATAATTATATATATATATGGAAAAAATCTTTATACTGATATGACAGGCAAGAATAGACTTATACTGATATATTATTCCACGGTCTTATTTAAAACTGACACAAATTGTACAAATGTGAGCGCTTGTGTAAAATTGCACAAACATACGTAATTCACTCGTGCACAACACAAACATACGGATATACATTACATCTACGCATGTAACGTTACACGAAGACAATGCGTGACGGACAGAGAATCGTCTCTTATGTTTATAATATAGATTATTCACTTCATGAAGACAACACATTTTCTATCCCACTAAAAAGTAAAAAAGCAAAAACATCATTACCTTCTCAGGTGGTAATTTTTCTTATGTTATATGTTTTTCATTGGATCATAAACGTTATCATTTTCATTGAATATCGTTGTAAAGTATCCACTTTTCATCATCATCATATTTTCAGAAAAACTTCTGTAGCATATCTTGCCCTTAAGGATAAATATATATTAATTTTCTGATTAAGTTGATAACTTGTAAGATCATATGGAGAATATTGGCCATTTGTATTCATTATCATTACATATATATATATATATATATATATATATATATATATATATATATATATATATATATAATTTAAAGAAAACCAGACACCTTTAAGGTTCCATGGTTATAATTTATTTCCCATGGAGATTCTTTTCCCTGGATCATCCTCCTTGGGATTATGCATACGGATTTCATCCTCCTTGGAATTATCCAAACTACATGAAAACTGGCGTAGAAGCCTGATCAACTTTACTGATAAGGAGGAGGGCGATGACTGTTTCATGGATTTTAGTCTATTATATCATTTCTTGTCCTATCAGTTTAGAATTTTCTTAAGATTACTAGATTTTGCTTGTCAGTTGAAGTGGGTTCACTTTAGATTTGATGATGCTAAGATTGAAAAAGGTCAAGAAAGCATTCATTCTGGTAAATAGGCAAATTTGAAACAAGATTTACACATACTCCTGCCTCAAAAACAAATCTAGCGTCGTTGACAAAACTAACCTGGCCGTTCGTCTCGAAAAGGACCTCCAATCGGTTGTGAACTGGGGTAGGAATTGGCTGGTCAACTTTAATGCTTCAAAAACAAAACTGCTCTCTGTTAATCACCACAGAGATCCTTCCCTGCCCTCCATTAGAATGTCTGACGCTCAACTTCTCGAGAGCACTTCTCTGCGGCTGCTCGGTCTCACGTTGACTGCTGACCTGAGATGGAACAAATACATTGAGTCAATTGCTTCATCCACTGCAAGGAAAGTTGGCTCCCTGTGCCGCGCCAGGAAATTTTTCTCGCCGGAATCGATCCTTCAGATCTACAAATCAACAATTCGCCCTTGCATGGAGTATTGCTGCCATATATGGTTTGGTGCCCTTTCTGTTTCCCTCGGGGTTCTTGATAGGCTCCAGAGGCGGATATGCAATATAATTGGCCATGCTCTGGCATCTCGTCTGCAGTCGCTCTCTCACAGACGCGCCGTCGCCTCTCTCTGTCTGTTTTACAAATACTTTCATGGTAATTGCTCCGAGGAGCTGCTTTCACTGGTTCCCAGACTTCATGAGTTCAAGCGCCCTACGAGGCTGGCATCCCGCTCTCACCCTTTCACTGTTGAAACTACTAAATGTAGCTGCCTTTTCTACTCCAATAGCTTAATATCTCGCACTTCTCGCCTGGGGAACTCCCTCCATTCTTCCTGTTTCCCTGAGAGCTATAATCTCCAACTATTTAAATGTAATGTCAATCGACGTCTCCAGATGCCTTGATCTATCCCCTATCCTTCTCTTCATCATTTCCTCTATCACTTCTCTTTGTTCTCGTTCAAACTCTCTGTAACCCCTTGCGTGCTAGTGGCTTCCAGTCTTGCTTGGGGGGGGGAATGCTTAAAACAAATCTAAACCGGATTTAGCCATATTTATTGAGAAATATATAAATAAGCTACTTCTGATAAATTTTGACAATTTTTTTTTATCCAGGGATATGTGTATATCCTACTTTTCCACAGATTTAGCCTTTTTTTTTCATTGAGAAATATGAAAATAGGCAAATTTCTCATCAGATTTACACTACAAATATGTAAAGATGCAACTTTTAAACCAGATTCAGCCATATTTATTGATAAATATATAAATAAACTACTTTTGATAGATTTTGACATTTTTTAGCCAGAGATATGTGGATATGCAACTTTTTACCATTTTATTAAATTACGAAAGCTTGCTTGTCAATTGAAGTCGGTTAACTTTAGATTTGACGACGTTAACAACATTGCAATGGCCAGGAAAGCATCCTGTCGAGGGTCTGATCTGCAAACTTCATTTTAACTAAAATTTGAACCTGATCCACTTTTCCTTTGGCATTGTTCTTAACGAAATAGCTATACACACCAGTATATTCATATCTTTTTATGAGGCTCATACATAATGCCACCGAACATAGCAAAGACAATAGCAGCACGACGCCGAAGAGGAGGGAATAGTGAGAATAACAGTGATCTATTTAATATGAAAACACAGTTTTGTCTTTCATTCTGACCTGAAGATGAAACGCGTTGTCATTTTAAAAAAAATCTATCTATCTATTACGGTTCATTATCAATCTGGCTAGCTAGCTATCTGTCTATCTCTTTCTGTTCATTATCTATCTATGAGTTCGTTTCTATCTATCTATCTATCTCATTCTGTTCATATCTATCTATCTATCTATCTATCTATCTATCTATCTATCTATCTATCTATCTCATTCTGTTCATATCTATCTATCTATGAGCACGTTTCTTTCTTTCTTTCTATCTATCTATCTATCTATCTATCTATCTCTTTCTGTTCATTATCTATGTATCCATCTATCCATCCATCCATCCCATTCTGTCCATTCTATCTATCTATCGTTTCATCTATCTATCTATCTATCTATCTATCTATCTATCTATCTCATTCTGTTCATATCTATCTATCTATCTATCTATCTATCTATCTATCTATCTATCTATGAGCACGTTTCTTTCTATCTATCTATCTATCTATCTATCTATCTATCTCATTCTGTTCATATCTATCTATCTATCTATCTCATTCTGTTCATATCTATCTATCTATCTATCTATCTATCTATCTATCTATGAGCACGTTTCTTTCTATCTATCTATCTATCTATCTATCTATCTATCTATCTATCTCATTCTGTTCATATCTATCTATCTATCTATCTCATTCTGTTCATATCTATCTATCTATCTATCTATCTGTCTATCTATCTATCTATCTATCTATCTATGAGCACGTTTCTTTCTATCTATCTATCTATCTATCTATCTATCTATCTATCTCATTCTGTTCATATCTATCTATCTATCTATCTCATTCTGTTCATATCTATCTATCTATCTATCTCATTCTGTTCATATCTATCTATCTATCTATGAGCACGTTTCTTTCTTTCTTTCTTTCTATCTATCTATCTATCTATCTATCTCATTCTGTTCATATCTATCTATCTATCTATCTATCTATCTATCTATCTATGAGCACGTTTCTTTCTATCTATCTATCTATCTATCTCATTCTGTTCATATCTATCTATCTATCTATCTCATTCTGTTCATATCTATCTATCTATCTATCTATCTATCTATGAGCACGTTTCTTTCTATCTATCTATCTATCTATCTATCTCATTCTGTTCATATCTATCTATCTATCTATCTCATTCTGTTCATATCTATCTATCTATCTATCTATGAGCACGTTTCTTTCTTTCTTTCTTTCTATCTATCTATCTGTCTATTCTTTGCTTTCGTACCCCATCTTTCGTTCACGATCTCATTTTTCTTCCACTGGATGCATTTAACCTTCTTTTCCCCTATCCCCCCCTTCTATTCGCTTTTCCTTTCACACGAGACGCTTCACGCGCGCACTCTCCCTCCAGTTGCCTTACCTCGTTGCTAGGCAACTGATCACCTGCCCCACTCCGATCCCAATCCCAACCCGGCCACACCCACATATCTCCACCTATTTTTCTAACCTTGCCTTCGTGTTCGCATTCTTCCTTACCTGCAGATTGCATCTTGAAGCACCTACCTCATCATTCCATTTTTCCCGCCGCATACACCGTCGTCGTTCGCGCCAACCGCTTACAAACTTCCGTTCGTTCATCCCTACCTATCGCCATCTTTGCGATAGTCCAAACTTCAGCATTTTATTCTTGACTTCTTTGTCGTCTTCGTTTCTGTCGACAGACAAAGACTTTTTATGCCAAACTTGAAACCTCGTGCCCACAAAAGAGCCGAGTGTCATAAGGACGGGTTTTTCCCTTGACACTGCTATTATTTTAACTACCTTCACTCCTCGGCAAAGTTTACTGTTTTAAAAAGCAATAACTAGAGTTGTAATGAAAACTAAACATATGAAAATAATTTATTCTTTTTCCTTCTTCTTGAGAATTGAAAGCAAATATAATAAATACTATTTATTTACTCGTTTGCTTAGTTACAATAGTTGTTTATTATACTATTTATTGGAATGGTTGGCAAATATACAAATCAACCGTTCGCCCTTGCATGGAGTATTGCTGCCATATATGGTCTGGGGAACCTTCTGTTTATCTCGGAGTTCTTGACAAGATCCTGAGACGGATATGCAATATAATTGGCCCTGATCTGGCATCTCGTCTACAGTCACTTTCTCACAGACGCGCCGTCGCCTCTCTCTGTCTTTTCTACAAATATTTTCATGGTAATTGCTCCGATGAGCTGCTTTCACTGGTTCCCAGACTCCATGAATTCAAGCGCCCTACGAGGCTGGCACCCCGCTCTCATCCTTTCACTGTAGAAACTTTTAAATGTAGCCGTCTCTTCTACTCCAATAGCTTTATACCTCGCACCTCTCGCCTGTGGAACACCCTTCCCAATTACTGTTTCCCTGAGAGCTAAATCTCCAACTATTCAAATGTAATGTCAATCGACATCTCCAGTTACCTTGATCTGTCCACTATCCTTCGCCTCATCCTTTCTTCTATCACTCCTATCTGCTCTTGCTCCAAATCTTCTGCAACCCCCTGCATCCTTGCTCGGGGCGTAATGCTTAAAAAAAAACAAAAACATCGGCTAATTGCCAATCAATTCTAACTTTATAAAATGGTAAATAATAAGAATTTCTTTATAGGTGTTTGACATATTTTAATAATTTAGTAAATGCTTATAAATTTATGAATAAAAAATTATTTTAAAAAATAAAATATTTATTTCTTTATAAATTGGTAAATGATTATTTGTAATACAATTGTATTAGTTTTTAGAATGTAAATTATTCTTATTTACATTATTTACATTGTTCAGACTTTACATCTTTATTGCCATGTTCACGACGTTTCGACTGCTGTACGCTTCGTCAGGTAATTGGAATTTCGAATCCGATCACCTGCAATTTTATTGGTCCTGACCTGGCATATCGGCTTTAGTAACTCTCCTACAATCATAACTTTCTCGTGCCTTTTCTATAAATATTTTCATGGTAATTGTTTTCCTATACTTTCCTTTATGGTACGTAAGAATGTGTTGTTTTGGTGTAAGGTATACTGTGGTATGTTTGGGTCAGTAACTCTAGTGAGTTAAGTTTAATTATAAAATAGAATAAGAACAGCCTTCCTTATCTCTCTTTTGGCCTTGTGCCACACCTTTGTATTTTAAGGATGCGGTACGGTGACGAGAAAGCAGCGATACGCAGGCTGTGGCTCGTTGTCCCTTGTGGACCTCCAACAGCGTTTCTGGAACCCACTTGCTCAGTTTGTACTTCTTACATAGGCGGTGCAGGTGAAGTCTAACTGTTTCATCGGAAACGTTGAACTGTCTTTCAAGTTCACCACACGTTAGACTACTGTCCTCTTCAATGGCCGCCTTCAGGACTCCGTCATTCATGACCTGTGGCCGTCCACTGCGTGGCTCATCATGGAGAGACAAATCTCCCGACTTGAATTTTCGAAACCAACGCCTTGCAGTACGTTCATCCACAGCACTATCCCCAAACTCTTGACATATGCGGTGACTTGATGCAGCTGCTGATAAGCCCACTTTGAAGTCGTAAAGCAAACAGCCCCGAACGAGATCTCTAGACACTTCCATCCTTCTCACAGCTGTCCGGCTTATAACTGATGGCCAGTTACGGTGTGCGTGTTTTTATAACGTCTGATGTTCCTACTTCCGGCTGTCTGAATTTGAAAACAATTGCTACACGCATTTCGTATAAATTTCAACTTCATTCAATGACTAATCAAAAAACAGACAGAACCTTTTTGGTTACCTTGTATGTTTAGGATTTCATAGAAACTGAGGTATTATGGTGGCTTTAGTAAGAATGGTAAATAAAAAGTTGTTGTTTTGGTGTAAGGTATACTGTGGTATGTTTGGGTCAGTAACTCTAGTGAGTTAAGTTTAATTATAAAATAGAATAAGACCAGCTTTCCTTATCTCCCTTTTGGCCTTGTGCCACATCTTTGTATTTTACAAAATAAATATTGCTTTCGTCTATGGTATGTAAACTTTGAGAGCAGTACTAGATTGTCAGTAAGGTCTTATCATCTTATAGTTGAAATGGCGATTAGAGAAGACCCAGAGGCGGAGACGTCCGAAGGAAGCGGAGGCGAGGGTTATTCGCCGGAGAATGTCTTCATCCATGTGTCCATTATCGTTGCCGAGTTAACATTAGACAACGAAATGTTGTAAATGTGCGACTGAGCTGTTGGATCACGTCGTTTAAACGCTGTTTGAATGACCTCTGTTTTATTTGGGTTGATATGAAGACCAACCCGAGCAATTATGCAATGAAGTCAGGGACTGTTTTAGTGAGAGTGCCTCATGTGAAACTATGACATCATCGTCGGCATATTGCAGTTCATAGACAGCAATGGTGGAGGTCAGATTCTTAGCTTTGAAACGTCGGGCATTGAAAACACTTCCGTCAAAGCGATATCGGATATGTATTCCGTCGTTGGATTCCATATTTAACCGAAAGAGAAGAGTCACAGCAACCAGATAGATGTTAAAGAGCACATTAGCAACAATACAGCCATGTTTAACTCCCGTATGCACTGAACTGTTCTGAGGAGAATCCCCCGATGGATACGTTAGCGAGCATATCCTCGTAAAATTGGCGTAGAAGACTCAGAAAGGTCAGCGGACAACCAAATTTGCTAAGCAAATGCTATAGGGTCTCCCGATTGACCGTATCAGAGGTTTTATTTAGGTCAACGAAAGGAAAATTAATCTCTCTTTGCTGCTCCCTGCTTTTTTCGTGTAGTAGAAGAGAGACGAATATCATGTTGAGGGTATTTGATTCAGGTCTGAGGCCACCGTCTATAATACAAGACGTAATAACGATAATAATAGAGCAGTAATGAAACAAGAAAAGCTCGATAGACAGTGATTTTGGTGGCGAGTCGGAGGTTGCTATTCGAGAAGACCCGAAGGCGGAGACGTTCGAAGGAAGCGGAGGCGAGGTTTATCCGCTGAAGAATGTTTTCATCAGTGTGTCCATTATCGCTGCCGAGGTAGATAAATGAGTTAACATTAAACAACTATATATATATATATATATATATATATATATATATATATATATATATATATATATATATATATATATATATATATGTATGTATGTATGTATGAATGTATATATATAAAGACATTCTTTTTATAATAAACAGTATTAACAACATTTACCGGCCTGAATATTCGAGAAATTTTCATAGAAAATATTCGTCCTCCGATAGGCATCGAACCAGTATCCTATACGGAACCGTCATATAGCCTGACGTGCTTTTACCGATTTGGCCACAGAGGAGCGTTCGGTTAGCAAGGTCGAATTTACTGCCTTTAAAATTCAATTTTCCATGATTTTCTCTCATACATTCATATCTGCTCGATGCGTATCCAAATGTAAACAAATGACATCATACATTATGAAATGGACAAAGTCCGACAATTATTTTAAGACATTTTTATGTTTATACATTCTTTTTATAGATACAAATATTTAAGTAAATGCTTCTCTATTTATAATAAACATTAGTAAACAACATTTACCGACCTGAATGTCCGAAAAATTTTCCTAGAAAATATGCGTCCTCCGATAGGAATCGAACCTGTATCCTATACGGAATCGTCATATAGCCTGACGTGATTTTACCGATTGAGCCACAGAGGATCGTTTGGTTAGCACGGTTGAAATTACTGTCTTTAAACTACAATCTTTCATGATTCTCTCACGTACATTCAATACAGCTCAATGCGTATCCAAATGTAAACAAATGACGTTACACATTATGAAATGGACAAACATCAACCTTAAAATTTGGGAATCATTTTATACTAGAATTCTAAAAAAGAAACCTTAAAATCTGAGTGATGTTTGTCGGTAGGCTAACCTCTTCCTCGGGGCGATAACTAATAACGTACATGAAAAGATTGACATTATCAAATAAACTGATAATAAAAGTAATAAAACCTTTTCCACCTTATATATTCCTGGCATAACTTCATAATAAATTGCCTATTCGAAGAATAATTCCATATCAATGAAATGAATACATGCAAGCTCAGCTGAGAAAATGTAAACATCGAGTTATGATTACGTTCACAGCAATAGGATGTACTAGTATTGTATATTATCGCATTATAAGTATTATATTAGCGGTATTTTGTGATTGTCGATGAAGTATAAGTAAATGGCCATTAGTGCACCAGGCTGTTTTGTAAATATTCAGAAGAAGAGGAAGATGAAGAAGAAGATGATGAAGAAGAAGAAGAAGAAGAAGAAGAAGAAGAAGAAGAGGAAAATTAAGAAAAGAAGAAGAGGGAGATGAAGAAGAAGAAGAATATGAAGAAAAAGAAGAAGAAGACTCAGTATTCGCAAGAGATCACGTGATGAAACGTAAACAAAACAATGGTTTC